TAGTCTGTAAGCCTGTTTCTTTATCAGTGACTTTCTTGTTTTAATTGTTTGGTCTAAGCCTTTCTCAAGTCATCAACTCTGACTGTTATTGTCTTGTTTGGTTTCACTATGACAGGTACTGGTAGGTTACTTATCTCTATTTGCCTCAGGAAGAGGTGAAACTTACATGTAACAGGTTAAAACAGGCAACCTCGAGCAATACTTAGTGGGTGATGGGTGTCGTAAGGAAGTGCCCAGGTGTTAATTACAGACATGTGCCTTAGGTTATAGATTTATAAAATCAATTCTGAGCAGAAAGAAATATAACTAATATTTCATGGTGGACTGTTATGAAAAACATTTCTTCTCCTTTAGTCGTATAGAGAAAAACTTGGTACATGTTTGAAAAAAAAACTAAAAAAAAAAACAAGTGGGATATCAAATATTCCATCCTGTCTGATTCAGGTACATGTAGACCTGTCGTTTTACAGAAATGCACATCCTTTTCCAGCACAGAACTATTTCTATTGTTGGCAGAAAATGTGCAATATTAATATCAACCTGTCGCCTTTCTTGTCCATTCATGACAATGGAAGTGAATCATGGATGTAACATCCCCTTTCTCCAACAAAATGTTCATGTGTTGATCATTGTAGTACAGTGATATCACAATAAGTCTACAGAAGTGGTTACCTTATATAGTGAAAGTAATAATACATCTTCTTGTATATTTGGGCCAAAGAAATTTTTGCAAGACTTTTTCAGTCTAGTCCAAAACGCCGATTCCAAAATTTTTAACTTTTCTAACTGAATTGTTTTACATGTCAGTATTAAATACAAATATATGCTATATTGTAATTATTTACAGTTGAATACTCTCTCATGCTAGGACCATTATTTCAAGTATTGTTTAGGTGTACCACACATAGAATTCAATCGGTAATTTGTTAAAAGATAGGCTGGAAAACAAACCATGTAAAGAAGTGATTTATTTATTTTATTTTGGGAGTTCTGGGATCAAGCCCCGAGAATAATTTCCCAAAGCATTTTATCTATGGTTTGGAATAGGGTTTTTTTGTCATGTTTTGAGAAAAGATTGGTGAATTAGAAAAGGGGCTCATTATCAGTTTTAAAAAACCTTAAGGGCAGACAAGAATGCACATCCTTTTCCAGGTTAGAATGAATTTCTAGTCTTGGCAGATAATGTGCAAAATTGATATCAACCTGTCGCCTTTCTTGTCTCTTAATGACAAAGGAAGTGAATCATGGATGAAACAACTTCAATATGCAACGAGAAGTTATTTTAGTGTATGTTGGAGAATGATAATCTCATAGTATTCCCTAACTGGTATATGTTGTGCACTCTGTTGTCAGGGTTTTGTATGAACGTTCTTGTGATGGTGAAGTGTGTGTCACATTAGAGTTATAAGGCTCTATTCAAGTTACATCACTTTTTGGTACATGTGTTAGCAACATTACTTTCAATTAAATATATGATGCTGGATGTTGATATTTAAATTCTTGACCACCCAATACAATTGTATATTTCGGGATGAAGTAGGAATGAATGCAAAGAATAAATGACAGATAGATGTAAGTTTGAATTTTATAAATTTTCCCAGTTGTTTATGTTGCCTCCTCAATAATGAATCGAGGAAACCAATATTATTTCGGAAGTGTTGTTACATTTTTGCAACATTTTAAAATCCCATGATTATTGACATATATTCCTCAGGTGACGTTAAGGCCCCTTGGGCCTCTTGTTGTCATTTTCCTCCACTTTTGACTGAATTTTCCTAATTTTGCAGACAGAGACATGGGAGCCAGGCACAGGGCACGGTCTTCTACCATCCAAATCATCAAAGTACAGGAAGTGGAAGCCAGCAAGACACGTAGGGCCAATGTCAAACAGTTCCACGTAAGTTTATCAATAGTAATACATAAGACTAACCAAAACTAATAAATGACCATTAGAAATGAGTGTTCCAGATCCCAACATATATGTATCAGTGTTTGATAAATTTCAATGAGTAGTAAAAATGACATTGACCTTGGGACCTTGAATAGTAAATCATTTAGGTATAATTACTATTGTCATATTTGAACTTGTCATACAATTTGTGAGGAAATTAAGGCATAAGGAGCGATGACATCAATGCAGAACAAGACGTAAACTGGTAGCACTAAGCTTATTATCACGTGCACAAGTCAGATTAACCAGATGTTTTTTATTTGGTAAAAATTAATTTATATAAAAATGTTTATTTTTCAGAACTCAAATATTCGCTTCCCACTGACACACAGGATCCAAAAGAAGCTTCACGAGCCCAGATTCACAACAGCAAGGCCTCACACTACATTTTAGATGAAGTTCTTTATCCTGTCAATAAATACAAGTCTGGGAAAGTAACTTTGTGTAGTGTTGTATATGTCATTGTAAAGATTTAAAATGGACAAATTAATTGTACCCTGTATTCTTAACAAGAGGCCCAGAGGGCCTGTATCACTCACCTGGATCTTTATGACCAACATTACTATATCTGTGCATATGTTCAACATTTAACACTTTTGACCCCTGTGACCTTGACTATGGGTTAAGGTCATTTCTTTTACTTTCTTGGACTTCATGAAAGGAACATACTGGCCAAATATAATGATTCTAGGCTTTTCGATAATTCAGAAGAAATTGTTTAAACGTTTTAACACATTCGACTACTGTGACCTTGAAGATTGGTCAAGGTCATTTCTTTTAGCAAACTTTGTAGGACACCATAAGAGGAACATAGTAGCCTGATATAATGATTCTAGGCCTGCCAGTATTTTGGAAGAAGTTGTTGAACTGTTTTAACACATTTGACCTCAATGACCTTGAATATGGGTCAAAGTCATTTATTTTTGCAAACTTTGTTGGACTTCATCAAAGGAACCAAATATAATGATTCTATGCCTTTGGGTATTTTGGAAGAAGTCGTTTAAAAGCTTTAACACATTTGACCTTGAATACGGGTCAAGGTCATTTTTCATTTTTGCAAACTTTGTTGGGCTTCATCAAAGGAACCTTCCAGCCAAATATGATAACTCTACACCTTTCGGTATTTCAGTTGTTGTTTAAATGAAAAGTTGACAGACGACAGACGGACACTATGCTATGGCATTAGCTCACTTGGCCCTTTGGGCCAGGTGAGCTTATAGACGTACTGATATTTAAGCCAAATCTTCAAATTGCTCATATAGCCTGTGAGACAAACCCTCTCCCAAGTCCCTTCAAAAATTGGTATTGGTCTTTTTCATTTTTTGAAGCACAGTTTTCTCTCTGGACATTTTACTCATCAATTACCATTTCCATTTTTGTATTCTTTATGATACAATAAATCTTGAAAATTTTTTTTTGGCAATGGACATGCCATGCGGTACTCTGAAGTTTTTGAAATTGATTGAAATCCTGTAGGGAATGAAGGCGCTAGAGTGTCGATAACGGTTTTCTAAAAATCGTGTTAGTGACCAGGGTTCATATGCATGAAAATTCTTAAGTTAAGAATATGCTTAAGTTGAAAAACTGCTTAGCAGATTGGATTTTGTGATTAGCATCTTGCTTATCTTTGTAAGTGGGTTGCATAAAATTTCTTATCTCTTAAGAATATTCTTAACTTTAAACAACCTCTGAGCCAGTCTTAAATTTCTAAGCAAGTTACTGAACACCAACAAAATGGCCGCCGCTAATGGACAGCATAGTGCACCTCAACAGTTTGCAAGGGCGTTGAGACGAGAAAGACATTTTAGAGACAGGTTTGACCCACTTCAAAACTTCGATGCATTTGAACTTTATCAGAGATTTAGATATGATAGGGAGGGAATTCTTTTTATTACTGATATTGTTAAAGACAATATCGTGCCTGCGATGGGAAGAAAACACAGCTTACCTCCACATTTGCAGGTTATGATTGCATTAAGATATCATGCTACTGGGCAAATGCAACTTTGTAGCAGTGATAATTTTAACATTTATATTTTCACATGTTATGTCAAAGTGTATTTGGTACATTTGCGCAAAGCCCACTAACAACTAAGTGCTAGCTTAAATGTCGTCTGCAGAACGAATGGATTTTCGGGACTTATCGGAATTCAACCATCATGTATACACGTAACCTGCCTGTCATCATTGTCTGCCTCTTGTGATCGGACAGTCCCATTTTCCTTTCATATGGAGATTTTGGCATTTTTTTTTTACTTCCTCAGTCAATTGACATACAGTGGAAGACGGACTGATAGCATTAGCTATCTTTTTCCAAGTCTCTCGTTTCCTCTGGGTTGTTATCCCACAAAATTAGATGATCTCAGCACAGCTTTGTTTTCCTCCACAAGTTTTGAGAGATGGAGAGATTCATCGCTAGTCCAGTTTGGTTTTTGTTTCATACAGGGCGTCTCTTCCATTTCTTAGGCCATTTTGACTGCATACAATTCCAAAGCGATTGAAGAAAGCAGACAACTGGGCACGCGTTTTTATTCATGTGCCTTTGTTTGTAAACAGAAAGTACGGGAATCTGTATGTCGCTTCATTAGCAACTAGTATTTTAAGAAGGTTGCAATCTGCTTTACTAAAAACATCTAAGCATGATGCTTAGAATTTTTATGCAACAGAAAATAAGCAACTTGCTTAGTAAAGTAGGTTGAAAGTGTATTTAAGTAAACATTTAAGAAAAATAGAATTTTTATGCATACGAACCCAGAATTTTAAACTTGTCCATGATATGGTCGTTCAGAATTGTAGTTTGATCAAAATATGAAAAGGAATAAAGCTGCTGGTGCCCTGACAGAGATTTTCTAAAAATGGTAACAGTGACCTTGATCAAACAACTCTGTAACTACAACTGAATGGGAGTTGATGGCATAATTGATACAACAGTCTGAATGTTCAACGGAGTCGCCTAAATCTTGGTAAGCATGTACAGTGAAACTAATATCAGTAGATATAGATAGGTTGTTTGACTTGTAAATCAGATGACAAAAAGTACAGAAGAAAGTTTACAGTTAAGTTTTTATTTATAAATTATCCACAAGTGTCTCGTTTTACTGCATTCAGGGAATAAATGGTCTAGTACATCTTTGTGATCAGATTATTAAAGACATGACCACAATAATGGTAGTCTCAGCATATATTACAGGTAGATTGTTGTGAAACTTTAATGTCTCAACCATCCATCATGACACAAATGATTTATCCAATTCAGAACACATACAATTCCATGTCCTTTTATTACTTAATACTGATTTTCTGATGACACGACTGACTTCTGATAACACTGCTGACTTGATTCTCTGATGACACGGCTGACTTGATTCTCTGATGACACGGCTGACTTGATTCTCTGATGACACGGCTGACTTGATTCTCTGATGACACGGCTGACTTGATTCTGTTTGACATCAGGATTCCTCATGACATTGGTTACCTTGTTCACAAGATGGAATTCAACACCACTAACAGAGTACATAACAAGACTAAATATCGCTCACCATGCAAAGTTACAAACTGATGATTATCCTAAATGTTTTATCACATGTCATTGATAGTATATAAGTATTTTGAAAATAAATAGAGATAGGAGTGATGTTGTAGCCAACAACAGCCATTAATTGTCATTTGGAACCTTGATAAACAGTCTATGTTGGTGTTGGTCATTCCATGTTTGAGCCAAGTTGTAGTTTAAAAGTGACAGTCATGGGTGTGGTAGGATCTGCTACATAAAGCTCCTGACCATCCACCAGTCCTAGCTCTACAACAACAAACCACAAAGTATTAGAAACATACGAGTAAGGATCCATGATAACTTCAATAAATACATTCTTATTCAACGTTACTTAATATCATGCTATTCATGGTGAACCTTTTCTTACGTGAATCTTCTTAGAACAGATTATCTTCTTGTCAAAGAATCTGCGTTACAATCTGGTATGATACCTGAATGCCTAAAACTATCATTAAAGACATCAATACCTTTATCTTGAATTGACCGTTCCTTAACTGATGATGGCCATGTTAGCAAATTACACTGCTCCAAGAGTTGGGGTGATAACAACTTAGATTCTTCAAACTGGAGTTTATTTCACAAGTATTATTAAAGCAAGGCATTGATGAACTTTCAGTTTTCAATTAGACACAGAAATTGATAAAATAAATGTCCAAACGGTACATAGATGACCCTTTCAGAAACTGCACACTGTTCAATTAACTTTATCTAAGGAGTATTAAACAACCATGTGGTTCCTAACATTTAACCCAAAGTCCTCTATCAGTTAATATTATATATAATGAATTGTACCAGCTTCATCGCACTGAACATTATACAGCTTTACAAAATTCACCTTTAGCTCATTCTAAATAAAGATTCATAGCTGTGTCACTGTAGGCATTAAAAGTTATTTGCCTGTTAATGTGAACAACCCAATTATCAGCACTTTAAGATTTCAGGCAATAATCAGAACAGATTTGCAAATAGTCAGGGTTTGCAAATTCAGGTCAGCAGGTCTTATTTTACATACAAATAACCCTGATCCAACTGGTAAAACAGATAGACAAAAAGTCCTTTCAGTGTTAGCTGTGGATATAAAGCTTTGTGTTACGTATACATACCTTTGAGAGTAAGTTTGAGATTTGCTTTTGTTCGTTCCTCTATCGATTTCACAGTCTGTATATACAAGGTTTTAGTGGCTCCATTTAGTGATGTTGTCATTCCTGGAGATTTCATTTGACTGAAAAAGAAAGAAAAATTAGAAAAAATATTACGTAGAAGTAAATACTGATAGGACAAACAAATACTTCCTGCATTTACATATACCTGCTGCACAGTATTTTCAAGAACACATTGTATATAGTAAATAAAAAATGTAGTAATACATCTACCTGGTAATCCAAAGAATATATTATGTTCACATGGAATTTCATTGTTAAATTGTTTTATTTCCTGCAATGTAAACAGAGTTTTCAGTTTTTACATACCCATGTATATTTCTGCAAATAAATAACAAGATTCTTTTTAAACCCTCCATACCAATGATTACTCAAAAACGTTATGTTACTACTTTGAATAAATCTAACATATAAAACATCCACTTACTATTCCTGACTTTCCATTAGGTATGTAAGTACATCTTGTAATTTGTCAGTCTCTGAGAAATTCAGAGTCTGTGGTATCTTACTACAGACCATACAATCCTCCTGGAATAAATATGCAAGTTATTTTCAATTTGAAAAAATTTGAGCAAACAAACCTTAACACACATTGCTACAGGAAACAAACTAAATTCTGCAAAATTATTCCATTCTTAAATGTAGTTTGGCATTCAAAACCTTATTTCAACAACCTTTTAAAAATCAAATGCTCCTGCAAAATCTGTCTGCATTTGGTGTCTAGTTCAGTATTATCATTGGAAGATTTACACTCGTTTCACAAATATGACCTTAGAAGTAGGTCAAAGTCATGCATTACGACAAAATCAAATGTTAATTCCAGCATGTTAGACTGAAGGCTAAATATCACCAGTCAGGACCTTTTTGTTATTCAGAAGTATTTTTAAGATTTAAAAAAATTCAGTCATGAGACACCATTTTGATGGCTTTTCATTCCTCTTGCTAAATATGTCAAGGTCTCGTGATTATAAAGTCATTTAAAGGAGCAAGTTATGTTGACTGGACAAATAGACAAATGCTGCCTGAGAGCATAGACTCACCTGTCCTGTGGAGAGATCAATGAAAAACAGTAGCAAGAAAATTGATGAAACTGTACATAAGAAATACCAACCTTACGCATTGCTTCAAATGTGTAGGTATATATTCCATCTGTATCGCTGAAGTTCATATAGTTACTTAGGGGTAAACAACAACTGAAACACAGAACCATACATGTATATCTAGGGATAAACAACAACTGTTTTAGATTTAATACAATACTTTTCAGGTAAACGACAACTGTATTATATATATTAAAAACAACACTTATCTGGTGAACAACAACAATTTAATGACAACTGAAACAAACACAGAACTATAATGTATATCTAGGGATAAATGACAACTGTTACGAATTAAAAACAACATTTATCTGATAAACAACAGTAATGAATTAAATACAACACTTGCAGGGAAAACAACATCAGTTATAGATTAACTTCAACACTTAATTGATGAAAAAAGACAAATTAAATACAACAAAATAGGGTAAACGACAACTGCTATATACATGTGTTATGAATATAACACTTATAAAAAATTGAAAGGAATCCATATCAATAATGTCTACAGTGTTAACACACATGATTTGTCTGTCTGCTGGAATCTGGTGATGTTTTTTTACATTTATTTGGATCTATTATAACAAAATACATTACTGACAAAAACATGTTGTTGCACAGAATGTTTTATGTTCGATTCCAAACATAGACTGAGAGTACTGATATCACACCACCAGAAGGACACTTTGATTAAAGTCAAATCCTATTGTGATGAAGTTTTGTGATTCAAATTAATATGTAAACTTACCTTGTTGCTATCTTAAAAACTTCTGTTGCACAGGCAGCTAATGAAAAGAAGGAAAAACTTTAAATGTTGAATTTAGAAATAAATGTTTTATATATGCACTTTTTAAAACAAAAAAGCAAACTTACGATGAAAATGTTGTTTTTTGTGCAATCAATGAAGCAGAAAATGCTTACTCTTTTGCAACACCAGGTTTTATTCTCCTTGTACTTTTTCAGGAGTCTACATATAAATCTTTCTTTTGTTCATATTCTGCCTTAGTTTGAGACTGGATTATTATTGTGTTGACATGTTGGTATTTTCTTGTTTTTGCATAGAGTTGACAAATATGCAATTTTTTTTCCTGAGAAAAATGCTGCCATTTGAGACTCTATATAATTTGTTGGTATTATAGGCGTTTCTGTAAAACTAATTCTTACCTGAAATAAGTGCATTAGTTGATGCTACAGCTGGAATAATTCTTTTCACAACACCTGAAATGAAGTAATAATATCAGGAACTATATATGTGGAAAGATGTCTAGATAATCTATCTTGTAATTTTTTTTTTTTCATTTATATGTATGGTCAGGTATAACAACTCTCCTACCCAGGTATATCCAGCGTTCACTGGTGTGAGATTTCTTTGTTATATGCTAGAGTAAGATGAAGGAATTCTCCTTTCAGGACATTAGTAAGAGAAAAATACTCATTCATCCACTTGTGTATAACACAGGGTGATCTGTTTATTAAGTAAGAAATCACTCAGCAAGTCTGAAGTTTGGCAACTGAAGAATCTTTCCTTACCGCATGAGATAACACCTTCAATCACTTTTATAATATCAACAATAATTTAGTGCTGAAGAATTAGTTGTTTGTTATACAGGTAAATTATAATGAATTACAAGAAATTTGTTTCTGATTCAGCTACAAAGGTGAACAATCACTTTGAATGGTTACAGTAAAAACTGAAGATAACCAACAAAAAACATATCTACAAAAAGAACCCTTCCAAAATACATTCATCAATTCAACATATATCTCCAAATATTTTCTTCAGCAGACTACCATTTCAGGAAAATAAATAAACAGTTGAGTGTGATGTACTGACCTTTTGTAATCTGTAGGTTAATCCTGTGATGTACTGACCTTGTGTAAGTCTGTAGGTTATTCCTGTGATGTACTGATCTTGTGTAATCTGTTGGTTATTCCTGTGATGTACTGACCTTGTGTAAGTGTGTAGGTTATTCCTGTGATGTACTTACCTTGTGTAAGTGTGTAGGTTATTCCTGTGATGTACTGACCTTGTGTAAGTGTGTAGGTTATTCCTGTGATGTACTGACCTTGTGTAATCTGTTGGTTATTCCTGTGATGTACTGACCTTGTGTAAGTGTGTAGGTTATTCCTGTGATGTACTGACCTTGTGTAAGTCTGTAGGTTATTCCTGTGATGTACTGACCTTGTGTAATCTGTTGGTTATTCCTGTGATGTACTGACCTTGTGTAAGTCTGTAGGTTATTCCTGTGATGTACTGACCTTGTGTAAGTGTGTAGGTTATTCCTGTGATGTACTGACCTTGTGTAAGTGTGTAGGTTATTCCTGTGATGTACTGACCTTGTGTAAGTGTGTAGGTTATTCCTGTGATGTACTGACCTTGTGTAAGTGTGTAGGTTATTCCTGTGATGTACTGACCTTGTGTAAGTGTGTAGGTTATTCCTGTGATGTACTGACCTTGTGTAATCTGTAGGTTATTCCTGTGATGTACGATGTACTGACCTTGTGTAAGTGTGTAGGTTATTCCTGTGATGTACTGACCTTGTGTGAGTCTGTAGGTTATTCCTGTGATGTACTGACCTTGTCTAAGTCTGTAGGTTATCCCTGTGATGTACTGACCTTGTGTAAGTGTGTAGGTTATTCCTGTGATGTACTGACCTTGTGGAAGTCTGTAGGTTATTCCTGTGATGTACTAACCTTGTGTAATCTGTAGGTTATTCCTGTGATGTACTGACCTTGTGTAAGTGTGTGGGTTATTCCTGTGATGTACTGACCTTGTGTAAGTCTGTAGGTTATTCCTGTGATGTACTGACCTTGTGTTAGTCTGTTGGTTATTCCTGTGACGTACTGACCTTGTGTAAGTCTGTAGGTTATTCCTGTGATGTACTGACCTTGTGTAAGTGTGAAAATTATTCCTGTGATGTACTGACCTTGTGTAAGTCTGTAGGTTATTCCTGTGATGTACTGACCTTGTGTAAGTCTGTTGGTTATACCTGTGATGTACTGACCTTGTTGGTCTGTAGGTTATTCCTGTGATGTACTGACCTTGTGTAAGTCTGTAGGTTATTCCTGTGATGTACTGACCTTGTGTGAGTCTGTAGGTTATTCCTGTGATGTACTGACCTTGTGTAAGTGTGTAGGTTATTCCTGTGATGTACTGACCTTGTGTAAGTCTGTAGGTTATTCCTGTGATGTACTGACCTTGTCTAAGTCTGTAGGTTATTCCTGTGATGTACTGACCTTGTGTGAGTCTGTAGGTTATTCCTGTGATGTACTGACCTTGTGTAAGTGTGTAGGTTATTCCTGTGATGTACTGACCTTGTGTAAGTGTGTAGGTTATTCCTGTGATGTACTGACCTTGTCTAAGTCTGTAGGTTATTCCTGTGATGTACTGACCTTGTGTAAGTCTGTTGGTTATTCCTGTGATGTACTGACCTTGTGTAATCTGTAGGTTATTCCTGTGATGTACTGACCTTGTGTAAGTCTGTAGGTTATCCCTGTGATGTTAAATTCATCTGCACGTTCTATACTTTTCTGCAATATCCATTTGATGTGTGTTGGATCATCACCATCAATTTTCACCCCAGCTGTAATACAAAAACAAACCACACATTATTATTATATATACATCTGTAATAGTATGGTAGTATGGTTAAATATTTAACTAGAACAGCAAACATTTGTACTACTGAATGGAAATATTTAAAAAATAGTAACTTTTTCTGACAGATGAATAATATTTAATGCCAATATAAGGAAATAATTAATACAATGCATAAAAACACATGAACTAAACAAAATAAGTCACGATAAAACAACAGAAGAGTTCTGTTATAATATAAATGTATGAGATAACTTAAAATGTATTAAAAGATAACAGTTCATCAATATCATATTCAAACTATATAAACAATACATATACCTCCAAATGGTTCCTCTTTTGGCCAAAGCAGAATCCTTACATATTCTATACAGTGTTCAGGCAATCTTGGTGTATGTGCAATGGTACAGAGGGGGAAATTCACCTAAAATACAAAGAATGATCAAACATCATATAGCTAGTCATCAAGACCAACTTATTAATGAGGAGGGCAGATTTTAGAACAACATCATAAGACCTACTTATTGATTCATAGAATCCCATAATATGTAGTCTGACCTAAATCCCTACTGACAGTTGACTGGCAAGACCTAAAGTACACTCTGCCACAAAAGTCAAGAAATGCGAAAAAAACAAAGCAATACATTCAACAAGCTGATTTTTTAATTTATAATAATAGTGACCTTGACCTTAGAACTTGTGATATAAAAAGCAATATTTCAAGCGAGCGCTTTAGGTAAGGAAGCATCGCATTAAGTTGGATTTAGATTGGGCACAGCAAACTCGATTATTTCTGTGTCTGAAAAGTAATCCCTCGCAAGTACTTTCAGTAAGAAAGCATTGTATGAAGTTATAGTTTATTTGGCCCAATGGAACTCAAGTTATATCATGGAAACCAATTTCCTACTTAGAGTAACAGTAATCTGGACCATTGACCCTGGGACCTGAAAAGCAATCCAAAGCAAGTAATTTCTGTAAGGAAGCATTGTATGAGGTTTGAGTTTGATTGGCCAAAGCAAACTTGAGTTATCGCAGGGAAACTGTTTTTTCTGTTTATAGTAACAGTGACTAAAAACTGTACAGCAATCCCAATCAAAGACTTTCAGTGAGGAAGTACTGTGAGAAGTTTGGGTTAGATTGACCAAAGCAAACTCTAGTTTTCACACGGAAACTGATTTTCTATTTATAGTTACAGTGACATTGACCTTTGGAGATGAGAAACGATCCCATGCAAGCACCTTCAATAAGGACTGTATGAAGTTTGAGTTTGATTATCCCATGGAAACTCAAGTTATCACACGGAAACAGAAGTGCTGACAGACAGACGGACATGGACACCGTGATTACTACAAGGCACCTGCACTATCTTGGGGGTTCCTATTGACCTCTACATAAGAACATGATTTCATAAATACTGCTGATTGCTGAGGAAATCTTTGTGAATCAGTTTTACACCATGGCTTTGTGTATTTAGATACATTTCTGCTCACCACAGTGGAAAAACATTTCAAAAAGATTTCCATTTTTTGCACCTCCAGGTAATTCATATTTGCAGGAGTGTTGTGCTTAGTGTTTTGATAAAAATGTCTTACGTCTTCACACAAAAAAAAATAGAAATATTTGTATAAACAAAGGGAACAGGCTTATCCTTCATCAGTCTTCCCCTTTGATCTGGTATCAGTTAATTCTAACATAATTTAATAGTGATCTATTGTGTTTTGTGTTAGAACTAAATAGATAATAAGTTAAAGACATAATGTCATAACATACTTGAGGAGGGTAGAGGTCAAGAGTACAATCCACACAAGCTGTTAAGCCTGGGAATATGACCCTTGCATTGCCCCTGAATCCTTCCGTTCCCCCGTCAATCATTGGTATCACAGTACTCTGGTCTAGTTCTCCATCTTCATAATTCAACATACTAACCTTTAACAACATCAGAAAACATTTTAAGATGCAAATCAACTATTCAAAAAAAATTGTTTAATTGAAAGAGTTATAATATCATACATATATTTATACCTAATTATTTATGATTTAATCAAAAGATCTAGACAATATTTACACGTTATATACTTAAGTAACCAAGACTGTTTTATACTCATATCTGGCATTGTTTTAAAGCTATCTCCTGATACAAATAACTTCTCTGTCATGAGTAAAGATCATTTTAAGTGTCATTTTTTCAATAAAAATAATTTTATGATTATCACAAGAAACAGTACCAGCATTCCATTCATCCATCTCCTTGCCACAATGGAATCTAGACCACACACAACGATATGGAATTCTGGAAAATAATAGAAAAAAAGGGTATCAATATACATGTACAAATACATCTGAAGGAGGAATGACTAACATGTTCTCTCCCTGCTGAGGCCTTGCACTAGCAACATCTCGCTAGACTAGTCAGACATTCTCCTGCTTTACTAAAGGGAAAATCCCACTTGTCAAGACTTGCAAGGAGACCTGTGTCCTTAACTTCAACACTACTCCTTCCTTCAGAAGTCTTCCATCCCAAAGATGACTACAATCAAGGTTTGATATCTCCAATAAGCAATCTTATACTCCTATAGCTTCTAATTTTAGAATGGACAACGACACTAAATATATAATAGCAAGGTGTAATGAAAATCATGCTCTGCCCCTGCTGAGGTTTGAACTAGTGTTCCTATACACTATACAAACTGACAAGGAGGAATGTCTCACTAGTCCAGGCTAGTAGTAAGGTGACTTGTTCTCTCATCTTCAACATGCATACCAAATTTTGGACTGAATCAAACAAAACATCCTCCAAATTTCTTAATAAAAAATAACAGAGACAGAAGGCCTCTTAAGTATACCAATGAGTTACTGTGAAATTGTATATGTATTTTATGTAAATTTTTACTCAATTTGCGTTGATTTAGACAAATCACTATTTCATGGACATCTGATTTCATGGATATATACAGCTCCATAAATGTGCTTTAAATAATAATTTTAACAGTTCGTAAGCATATGGATTTGTAGATTAAGAGTGACCATTAAAATCAGTTAAGATAAATCCCCCCATGAAAATTAATAATTTTACAATACCTTAAATACATGATAGCTGTGAACACATAAAATACTTATTCATGAACAATTAAAAGAAATTAAAACAAAAATTTGCATAAATCAAGGTGACATATCTATGAGGATTTGCTGAAAAGATTAAGGATAAATTTACTTACCTCTATAAAATGTTTCATCAAAATCCTGTATTTTGCAGTTTTGACTGGATGAAGCTAAGGATTTTTAACTATCAAATAGATGTAAAACAGTTCGCTGGAACATCATATATATACAAATGATCTTGTTAAGTTTCCTTTTGTCAAAATTGGATGTACCACATAATGCAGTTAAATGTCACCATGTTCTTCATGGGTAAAACTGACCATGCTAGCAGGACTATGATATAGCATTATAATATAAACATATCTTGTGTATCTATCTGTGCTTAAGGATACGGCACCACTTTGCATCCTGGGACTCGGTTGTTGATAAACTCTGCAGCTACCTCTGCTTTTGATCGTCCGACATCTTTTTTCCTGAAACAATCACACTTAAGATATCAAAAGCATTCGATAGTTGATGCTTCCTGCAGTCTTCAAGACATAAGTATTAATTCACTCTGTGTTGGTACATATGTATCACACGGATATGGAAACCACCCTGGTATATTGAGATAATAATTTCAATGGAAAGCATCAGTGTCCGACACAACAGATCTAGATCTAAAATAAATGTGTTACAAGTTCTGTTATAACATCTTTATGTTGGTAGTCTTTATACCTGAACAAAAACTGTCTGTTGAGATTTGAGATGTCTATGGTGTCCATGTCTATCACAGTAATATTCTGAAATCCCATCAAAGCCTGCAAATCACAATAACATTATTATCAATAGACTTAACAAATGTAAACAAACTAGACAGCTGAAATCCCATCAAAGCCTGCAAATCACAATAACAATATTATCAATAGACTTAACAAATGTAAACAAACTAGACAGCTGTAAATAATGGATGTATCTTATGAATCCAGTTTTCTATAGTTGAGTAACTATGAAGTCTCTCATTACCAAGATTTTGCCTTGGTCAAACTTGGATACAAGTAAACTTTTCAGTTTTTTCAAGTACCAAATTTCTACTATCTGTAGAAAAAGTCACAGACAGAAACTCTTGTTTTGTGAATCATTTTTGTGTATGATCCTTTAGTGTTGATTCTGTGTTATATGTTAAAAGTGGTTTTCAAATGTGACTCTTAAAACAATTCTACTCTTGTTAAGTATTACTGAAGTGTAATGATCAATTTAAGAAACAACAGCCAACTGCTTTAAAAGATCCCAGTACAGTCATATCCCTCACTATCACATTACTGTCAGAGACGTGACAACTTACCAAGTCCTTCAGGAGTTCACATCCTAGGCCTCCTGCTCCTATAACCAGGATTTTACATACTTCCTGTAGGAATGATAGGGTCTGGGAAAGAAACAAATACGTGTCCAAAATGTAAAGATGTATTCACACAAACACATCAATAATGTTAATTTTCATTATCTAAAATAAAATATTCAAGATTTTAAAATTTTTGTTTTTAAATGTGGTGATAAGAAAAAGATATTTTGCATCACTTTGTGAACAATGGCAAAATGCTAACCAGTGTATACAAAACACAAGAAAAAATATTGAAAGACCTTCAAGTATTACAAGAGAATCTGTCACATTGACAGTACCATATTTATCTGGCGCTAAGTCTGCATCTGATAAGAAACCCATCCATGTCATCTGCATTTCAGCAAAACTTCTAACAAACACAAACAGATTTATTCATTTTCTGGCAACAAGGTTAAGTTCATCCCTACCTACTATGAGTCAAAGTGTTTATGTTGGTTACCTAAAAACAGCTAGTATTCTTAATTCTTCATTATTGTATTTGAATGCTTGATAATAAAGCAAGAGGCCTTACTAATCATCTGACTAGTTTTTTCTACTTTTAAATGAAATCTTACTAAGAAGCTGCTTTCCATGATGCAGATGCTAGTTTTGGTGAGGAGTTGGTAACTGTAACAAGTGTTACCTATTTTTTGACAGTAAAGTTGGAGCTCAATCCCACTGGTGAAACATGAGAAGAAGTTTGAAATAGGTGTTGCACAGGAAAACCATGATTGCACAATCATGTTACAAAATGACCTCCCAAGCTGCAGTGTAGAAGGTCTGAAGAGGTAAAAAATAACAACATTTTGTTGGCTACCTTTCTTTAACATTCCCACCAGTTTTTAGCTCAATGGAACCATTGGAAATGGACAAGAAGTTTTAAAATATGTTTTTCAAGATGGCAGTCATGGCTGCCATCTTGGATCTCAGACCGACCTGAAAAATAACAACACTTGGTCAAGACCATCTCAGGATCATTTCATGCAAGCTTATGCCCAATCTCACTGGTGTAACTTTATAATAAGTTTCAAATGTCAAAAGTTTACACACAGTGGGCGGCACATGGCAGACAACGATGGATGAAGCACAATGGCAAAAGGTCATCATGACCCTTTAGGTTAGATGACCTAAAAATTAATGACCCTTCTTTTGGTTGCTATACCTCAGAACTTGGTTCAAAATCTGGATGAGCAAAGGGTCCACCTCTCTCCAAAAACTTCTGCACATGATTCCAGCGACCAGTTAAATCTGCTTCCATTATGAAGTAATCTGTACAAAATACAAACTACATGTAAGTATACAGCATAAGCATTCTTTATTCACATTACCACATAAATCACAATAATGACAGTATGTGGTCACATACAAGTTCTTTCTACGTCAGCAAATCATTAAGAAAGCCTCTAAAGGGAAATACTACACTGGGATGCATTTACAATTTACTACAACCAATTAATAAATCAAATTCTACTGTTGATGGAAGTGCATAGAATATCTGTTCAAATGATTTTTTTCTATAATAAGGACGGTATAAATGAACTGAGATAAGATTTTATCAATAATTTGGTTTATTACAAAGTTGATAAGATTGGATTGCACCATTTCTATTTTGCTAGTATATCTACTAACGTTGTTATACGGGGCATAAACCCCAGAATGTAAAGGCAAAACTGTAGTTTATAACAGTGGAGAAAACATTCAAATTATACCTCAGAACAAAGTACATTTTGTAAGTTATTTTTACAACAGTTATGGGTACTTTTTATATTTTCATTAAACAAAATACCCATGTAGTATGAAACCTTTTTTTCTTTTGTTAATACACTGAAATGTCAAACATTATTGTTTGTTTATTTATAATATTAATTTATTGTTGACTTTACTTTACACAGCTAAAGGTGCGGCGGTCAACGTTTTGGAAGCGTATTCGTGAAAATAGGCCTCTTTAATTTTTTTGCATATTTCAGAAAGCGTACAAACCACGAAGCAATGGTCCAATTTGTCCGACATCGGATTATAATGAGGGTAAATGTTGTGACTTACCATTCATAAAAACAAATCAAGACAGACTTGAGTAGATTTTCAAAACGAAACTACATTTCATAAACATGCTTTACCGTCGTCATTTAAAAAGCCCTTTATACAAACGTTTACACAACGCAGAGTAATATTTTTCTGGATATCGCTTAGGCTATCAAAAAATAAACACGACCTAAAACACTTTTCTTCGTTTTTTATTGTTCAACATATTCTAATATCTATTTCATGGAACTATTTTTAGTTTTTACTACATATTGGTTAGTATATTTCTGCCTTACTTTGTATTCTATTTTTTTATTTTGCATTATTCTTTATAGTATAAGCGGCGTTTGACAGCATGGCTGACGTACAATTAGCACCGCTCCGAACTTTAAATGACTTTATGATGGAGTCGGCTCGATTCCAGACTCCGAATATTAAAGACCCAGAAAAATGGGCAAACAGGGTATTGAATAATTTGCTTTACTACCAGACAAATTATTTCTTGACAGCGATGATTGTCTTTTTATTGATCGGGTAAGTGGTAATGTTGACATTTCCTGCGTGACGTGTTGTAAGTAATTATACGATAAATCCTATTCTGACTCATGCTTTTGTTATATCGAAATATTGTAGGACACGACACATAAAAAATACGCATGAAATATATAACACATTGGACCTTTATGCCAGGCCAGAGCCTGTTTTGAGGAATGCAAGTGTCTATGTAGTTCTGTCACAATGGCCTCGTCACTCTTTGGTATACGGTACCTTTGGTATACATTTGTACACAGGGGCTTACTAGTCATGTGTTTACGGCTATTGTTTACCATGGTTACATACCCTCCCTTAAAGTGTTACAAAATGCTTATTAGGCGTGTATTATATATTCCATTTCCTACATGGATACCAATACACATATATGTAACAAAGGTCATTACATTTAATTATTTCAATACCTCTGCTTTGATATGAACTTGGAACCTCAAGCTTGCTTGTTCTATGCTCCATCAGTCAAGCTGAAGAGAAGATCTCTTTAGCCAAACTATATTGTAGGAAGTATTACCAGAGTTGCATTAACACTTTTCTGTCCAACCTCTTTCTGACTTCCTCATGCTAGTTATTAAATAAGTAGGTCACTAAAAATAAAATGCTTAAACTTGTCAATTACATGTGTAAAAATACAACATGAAACAAGTTCAGGTGAAAAGGTAAAAAGGAATGTGCCTTCTGCATTAGTTTATCAAAGTAAACTACATGTGTACCAGGTGGTGAGTGTATGCCCGTTTAAAAGCTTTCAACACATAAATCAGATGCTTTGTTCATTTTTTTACTTGTATGTACATCTTCAGCACTGTATAATTTATATGTCCATACAAAATCTGGACACATTTCCAGCATTTATTTGCAGAGCCTACCAGTGTAAAATTGGATAATGTTTTGATTCAAATCAAGTACATAACAAAATGTGTTTTGTTTCTCAATTTAAAATCAGTGTAATTATGATAAAATGTTTACTAGCTGCTTCTAACCACTTTACTAGGGTAATTTAGAGTTTAATCCTCAATATAGGCATTAAAACTAGTATTATAAACATATCTAATGTCTATATATGTTTATCTGGACCTGGAAATATTGTCAATATTGCTGTTACCTAGAAAATAAAAGGATATGTGTATTTGATTTTTAACCTGGTAAAAATCACTTTCAGTTCTTAACAGCTGCTAGGCGAAGTCTACTTACATTGTAAACTGTTAGTCTACTTAACCAGGGGTCCCAGATTTGATTTCTATCTTAGAGACATCAAAAATATAATTACCCTTGTTTCGATATATCTGATGTAAATTTTACCTTACTTCTAAAGTCTTATTTTGCCAGTCACTTTACTGTCCATTTTTGCAAGCTCTTAAGAGTTTTCAGGAAATATCAGTTACTCATATTCTGTACTGTTCTGTTCTATTTAGGATCATTCACCCAGTGAAAATGGCCTGTGGATTTGTTGCGATAGCCGTTGCTTTTGGAGCATTTGTTTACTGTACCAATAGCCAGTTCACAGCCCGCCGTTTTAAGCGGGATCACCCACTCATCAGCATCCTCATTGTCCTGGCGACAGGATATGTACTTGTGTACTTGATTGGAGCTGTCATTGTATTCATGTTCGGCATAGCATTCCCTTTGCTTTGTAAGTATTGTTATTCCAGAATGTTATTAGCTTCTACATGAGCTACTAAAAAAATGTCAGAAACGATGTCAGAATCTATATTTGAAAGAAAAAAACTTTTATTGAAAATCCTCTTACAAATTCAGTTTATATAAATCATAATATGTTTATGCATTATTGTAATAATGATAATGATAATCTGAGTTTCTTAGAATCTGCTTTATCACAGCAACGGCTGCCTTGAAGCACGTACCAAATCTTTATCTGTGGTTATCTAACCTTTTGCTACTAACCATGCTCTTTCTCAACTCCCTGAGGAGCATACAACTGGAGCTGCCATTCAGCTCAAACCGCTTACAGACAACTTTCTTTGCACTGTTTGACCATTTACAGCTGAGTTAACAGTAAAGTAATTTGCTTAAGTATACAACAAATGAACGGTGGCCATTAAATCTTTCTGTTCTTTAAAATTCTACCTTTTATAATGTGATCATGTATAATGTCTTGTTGTAGTAATTCTGCTACATGCATCGCTACGTATGAGGAATGTCAAGAACAAGATAACAAATAAAATGGAGTACATAGGCCTAAAAAGGACACCAATGGGGATCATTTTGGAAGGATTAGGACAGGAACAGGAGGCAGGGTCCTAAACAGGAAGAAGTGTCCAGTAAGGAAGCAAGGTCCTCCCAAGGAATTAGGTCCTTGACAGAACACCAACTGCTATATAGGAAGCTGAGTCCTTAAAAGGAAACTAGGTCCTACACAAGAAGTTATGACCATTCAATATGGCCACTTAATATTTTTCCTCGAAGTTTATTTAACATGTAAACTGTTTTGATTAACAAAGTAATATTTGTATGTATAGATAGATACCCTGCCATTCAAGGACATGTTGTTTTATCACTTCATGTAAAGTAGCTATAAATTAGTATTACATTTACATTTTACTGTTACTCTTCCTCTGAATTGTTGAATTATTTTTTATCTTTGTTGGTGAGGTGGTCAGGTTTAAGACAGAAATAATCATAGGGTACCAGTTTGGAATTTTTTGCACCAAAAAGTGAATTGGTTTATGCCTTCTTTCAGTTCCTTATGTTCTCCATGGCCTTATATGGTAAGCATTCATATTGTTATTTTTCATTGTGTTTTTTGACGTGTTGGAAGGATAATATTCTGTATTCAAAAAGTTGGAAGTTAAGAAGTGAATTTGTTTATTACTATGTAATGTCTGATCCTGATTGGTGTGAGAGATATTGTCTTTCTTTCCATTGGTAGACAATTTAGATAAATCAATTCAAATTTACTGAAGAACAACAGTCCAGAGAAATTTTTATGTAAATTGTTTTTTTCTCTTAGCTTGTGTAAACTTCTGCAATTTATGTCCCACAAGAAACATAAATATATTTTTTCTAGTAGTATGGAGAGATTCTTTAATATGTGGCTCTGTATTTCCCTGTATTAAGTGTTGTAACCCAAACCACTCCCACATTGATATGATTTTACAAGGTGATAGAAGGTGGAAGGTGATTTTGTAGACATTTTAACATTAGTTGAAATAAAGATATTATTGCTTAGTATACAAACTCACAATTTTTCATACACATTGCTATGTTTGCTTTGAGCATTGGTATTAAGGTTCTAGTTTGGCAGGTTAAGCAGTAACTAGATTCTTGTGACTTTGAGCATATGATGCTATTTAATACATTTAATTTATTTGTGAGGAAAAATACTATTATATTACATGAACATGCTTTGCAAATTTTGTTCACAATGCATCGAAGGAGTGACTTATTTGTATAATCAAACAAATTACTTAATTTGCATGATTTATCATGAAAGTTATGACTTAATTTGCATAATTTGATTATAAATGGAGGGTATACTATTGAATTATACCTATTTTTAGTATAAACTGTGACAGTTGTAACATAAAATAGATGTGTCAGAGTTGTCAAGAGTATGAAAGTTAAAAATGTCATTTCTGAAGGAAGATTTCTGGCTTATAACAAAGTGAAGGTTTTCAGTGCTAGCAAAGTGATGATCAGGTTTTCATAATGATAATTTTAGCTAGAATATTGGTATTCTCTTAGGATATGTATTTATGGAAAGATTATTATAAAGGTTTGGAGTTTGGTGACTGTTATCGTATTTAAACTTTTGCTGGGGATCAAACTTAAAGTCTCCATCTTACTAGACTAACCTTTTGCCTATTAATCTAAAGAGAAATTCTCAGAAGTAGGTAAATGCCAGTAGATGGAAGGATTACAGTATCAACAATTCATGATTGTTAATGAATAATAAAGTACATTTTTACATTTCTTCTGTATGGACAATGATTTTAGGTCTGTATCCATCCAGGTTTCATTCTGCTAGTATTTTAGATAAGAATAAAGTTTAGCGTTATCTTGGCTATACGCTGATTGCCATATGGCCAGCAACTGATAAAAGTTGTCTTAACCAAATGAATTTTCATTAAAATTTCAAAGTATGATTTTTTCAAAAGTACACCAGACTGTCTTGATTGAATTTCATAGGAGTTACATACTATTGTGTGATTAATTTTTATAAATGTATAAAACCTATCCAGAGTTTAAATATGTTCTTCTTTGGATCAGTATTGGAATGTTGGTAGAGAACAATTTTGTTTTATATCTGTATATGGCAGTTTTGTCTGGTGATTTCCTATATGTTATCATAATAAGATGCAGATGTTTTATTGTCTAGTCAGCATATCAACATGTCTTTTGTGGTAATTATTATCGAGATGGTCAATATAATGAAATGTACTTACATTTGAATAATAGATATTCAATTGAAATTTAATTGTCATTTTGACACTGTTTCTTGAAAATGAAATATTCAAATTTTTTTCAAATTTTAGGCTAAAGTTGCAATGCACTCTTTCTCTTCACATTATCTGTTTTTTTCCTTACTAGTCTTTCCTCCACCCATGCAAAATGTTTTATGATTTCAAAACAATGTCTCTTTTTTGCTCTGGAATGATAATTTTAGGAAAAAAGATATCAAACAAAGCAATAAGAGGTGATTGTGTACTGAAAATTAACATTTTGAATCAACATTAGATAAATGTTTTAGAAACATTGTATTTATAGTGGTATTGTATTCGCTTAGTTCTGCAATAGAAACATATGGTGCTGGAAGATACTCCTTACATTTTGATAGTTTTAGTTTATCATCATATACATGTGTACTATTACTTACAAATGTATATTAAAACCTTAGTGATGTTTTCTTTACAAAACAAGTTATTTTCTTATGTTGTGCAATATTCACAAATTAGGCCGTTATGTGTTATGTTATATAGGTTACTTGAAGAATGACATTTTGGTTATTAATCCTGCTGGACTTTTACTTACAGACATGGTTATGGAAACTCGTCAAAAAGTGACACTTACTTACATACATAGTTATCGAAACTTGTCAGAAAGCAAAATGAGATCAGGAAGTGCGGCCTTTTTTCATAAGTGATTGATACTGTTTTTTACTCCTTACACAAAAAGCAGTGAATATATGTCTCCTGGTAATAAGGAGAAGCTCAGGCCCTGTAATGGTGTCACAGTTTTCGTTTTGTATATTATACATGGTTTTGTATAAAATGTTTGTGAGACAGGAAGTGTCAAGAGATCAGGAATATAGAAATGATTGGTGATATTGATCAATGAAGTTGGGGATTGTTTAATGTTTGCTTGTTTTGGCTTCAGCTTTGATGATGTCTGCCAGTTGTTTTCAATATTATCATTTGATTTTCATACACTGGACTTATCACAGTTGAACATGTGCTTTTGTGTATGATATAAATCATTGTAGTTTTTTGGTTCGAAAATTTGTGTTGTGATATACAATGTATGTATTACAAGCTGATGTTTGTTGAAATTGCAGTGAATCTCAGTTAATATGTCATTCAATGGCTTTATTTAACATACTATACGTAGGGAGATTTTCAAGCTCCTTACCATTACAAAATTAAAAAAGCAACAACAAAGTTTGAGACAAGTTTCATAAAATTTCATATCAAATGGAAAGCAATTGAAAATGCTTTTTATCAGATACTTCAGAAAATCACAGGAATTTGGTTTTAAAGGAAAAGTGAGGACATAAAATAGAGGCAACCATTTTGTTGCAACATTTGTCAATTCATGATGCAATGTCATCTTTCCATATTATGACATTACAATTGATTTCAAACTGTTGCAGCCAATGAAAATTGTTTAGGTGAAATAATTTGATAACAGGGAGATAATTTGATAAAAAAAAATGTACAGATTTTTAAGTAAATAAAGAGCAATGCAGTCTGTCAATATACTTCAGTAACTGTTTTTTAAAATTTTACGTACAAATTTCCAGCACCAGAGACAAAATTTCACCTGATAAATCCCATTCATTATAAGGACAATTCCAGTAAAATATCTATTTTACCTCAGGACTCCAAAATTTATACTTCTCTCTGTGGTCCAGTTTTCAGTCTATTACTTTGAAGCAAATTCTATGGGTGTTACTCATAAACAAACTCTGGACTCCTGAGGTAGGATAGATAGAATAGCCCATGATGTTTTCCAGGGGTGCAGAGAGCAAAAAGTGATCACAATCCCTGGAGTATTGAAGATGGCCTTTGGCACTCACTGTCCATTTTGGGTCTACATCTCCCATCCCCTATAAGGACATGCTATCCTTTTTGTAATAAAGATTACTAAGTAAATCTAGCCGTGCAGGGATTTTGAATGAGGTTTGGTTTTATAATCTACGCAGTATTTGTGTCTGTATTGTTATTTACATTAAGAAATCCTTAGTTCGCATGTGTATTTTTTTTTTCATTTAATGAATTATTGTTTTGACTTATTTGCTATGGGACCCAGTATTGTTGTAATTCATTACATCCTTTGTGAAGGGAGGTAACCAAATGCCCTTCTTTGGATATTTGCAACTTGCAACTAATGATTGAGATCTGACCAGTGTTGTAGTGATGTTGAGCTGTGAACAATTAGAGGTGATGGGATTTAAATGTATCATATTTAAGTATATACCAGGTACATTGGTTCTCTTCTGAACCCATTTTTCTTGCCAAAGATGTAATTTGTCTGGTTGATGTTTCATTTTTGATCGATCTTGTTAAATGTCCCTCAGAGTATCTTGTGATACCGTTCCATTAAACCATATTAGTTGTGAAGCTGCTCATTAGAGTTCATACTCATTAAAAGTTCCCAAACTGAAACTCCAGTCTCCTGTGTAAATACAGCCTAAAAAGTTTTTTAATTGTCCTAAAGTTTAGCAAAACTTAAAAAGCCAGTTTTCAAAGGTCTTATGACACATTGTACTCATCGTCTAACAAAACTTGACATGAATGTGTCATATGTGGATGAATAATGTAAAAAGTATGTAATCGCTAATAAATTATACAATACCAGCATTTAGTTTTCTTTATTTTTTACTTCCAGTCCAAGATTGTAATGCCATCATTCCATCCATCTGAATCAACGGACAATAAGTTCCCTAAGATCATTCAAACTCAAACTGCTTTTGTTATTGATCGTACATGCTGGGGACAAAATCTCAAACATCAAGGTCACTGTTACTGGGAAATGAAAATTGGTAGGAATCTCCATTCCAGCACAATAACGCAAGTTCAAGTTGACCAATTACATTCAAACTTCATGAATAGTAAATTCCCTTGGAGTGCTCAAAATTCATACACCACTTTCTCAAACCAAGTACTTGTTAGCCCTTCGTTAGGAATCGAGAGGGACTGAAGTTTTGCATTATGTCTGTATGTCCATCCTCACATATGTCCTTTTGCTGTCTTGTACACCAGTAACCACTTGTAACTTGTACTTTGTGTATGCATTAACCTTGATTGCGTAGGATATCAAAAGTAGGCCACTCTGACCTACATTTTAATCTTTCATCTACATCAAAGAAAAAGCTTGTTTTGCATATAATTTTACATTCAGTAAGGGGACATATTTTGCCAAATTGTCATGTTATTTTTGGATTGCTTTTCATGTTCAGTGCTCATGACGGTCAAGGTCACTGCTACCATAAACAGAACTTTTATTTTGACACAATAAATTGAGCTCCCCTGTACTTGTCCATCTCAAAGTATATATATAGTCATCCATCATTCCAGTGACTTAATTTCACAAAGTATTTATGTAATGTCGCACTACAATGATTCCTCTTTTAAGGTTTCCTGTCTCAGAGTTCCAATGTCAAGTCACTCTCACTATTAACAGAAATTAGTCAAACATTAATATTAGTATGCATGGGAGGGAGCAGAGGTATTCATTTTCCATTTACATATCTAAGGATTTTGGTGGCTGTAAACAACCATTTTTCTCCGTAAATCTTTGTAGAGTGTAAATCACCTATTCAGCTTTTCCACTAGTACATTTGTATTGTCTAAATGTGTCACAAAGAAAACTGCATTGTCTTGTCTTGCAATGCATTAACATGCTATAAACATTGATCCCTGTATGTTAAGTCAATCTTATCCATTTTACCCCTATTTTAGACTACAGCGGCTAGTTGGCAAGTAGTCTTCCCCTTTACACCTATTCCCAATGCAAGGAGCAAGCTGAGTATTGCTTGGGAGTTATTCCCTTTATCACGATTGTGCTTGTTATCTTAAGCATTTGTATTTACAAGGTCTTTAACCTTCTAACCCCAGGAAATTAAGTTAAATCCTGCATTTACTACATATTCAACATTCAATCACTTTGGCTCCTTACTAACATTATTTTATACAGTAGAATTTACATCCTTTCCCTGATTGGGTCCTTTTACCAAACAGAGCAAATCTTACATTTCTGCTAAATTGTATTTTCTAGGTGAAGTGATTCCTAACATCAAATTCAGTTCATTCAAAAGAAGTACCACCCCCTACTCTTTACTCAATTTCATGCACAGGCCCCCTGGGCTTATTGGCGGAGAAATACGGTAGGCTTGCATGTGTCTGGGCAGAGTCATCACTTCCCATACAGTTTGAGAACTGATCTCGAACCAGTTTACCTGGGTATATATCTTGAAATGAAATATTAAGTACATGGGGTTTGTTTAGAAGCTTGGTAAATTTTGTGCTTGAATTTGAAATTCATCAAAAATTTTATAAAAAGTAAAAACCGTAACACAATTTCAATTACAGGTGTATTACTGTGCACATTTTTTAGTGAACAGAGAATATGCACGAATCAGATTGGGAGATCAAAGTTTGAGTTGTTTTTGGTCTGTAAAATGCCCACTCTGTTGTATTACATTGCTGCAAATGTTCCTTTTTTGGCACTATCAAGTTTTAGCACATAATAATTTTTTTTTGCAAATTTGTTCAAATGATAAATTTGGGCATCAAGAATGATTACTAAATAAGCAACATATAGAGACTGCAAATGGCATAATCATATGCTTGAAGTGCGAAAATAACACTCACTAAAACATGTACATTTAGAGTAACCTCCATGATTGAATTTAGAAAGGGTTGGGATTGTAGTTGAACAGGAAATTTACATTTTTCAAACAGAAAGAATTTCACAACAAAAAAAAGTTCTAGTACAACATTTATTCAATAACAGTTTCAGCAGAGAATTGATTCCGTAACGATCACTTATATTTTTCCCCTGTAACAATTCCAGTACAACATAGTACAACATTCTAAAACAACACTAGTACGATAGTGACAGATACTTTATATTTTCAATAACATTTTAAAAGACGAAATGCAATTTTACTTTCATTTATGGTCACAGGTTTGAAAGCCAACATTTTGTTGAAGAATTGTTAATTAAGAATTTTGAATTATCCGTTTAAGTTTGTGTGTTTATGTATGTATTGCAAAATACATTAAATATTCCCGCGTTTCGGTAGTATAGCGGGAATAGTTCGTCTTCTCAGGCACGTAGAGCACGTGCGTATGCCCAGGTAAGGGTGGGTGCGCGGGTGAATAGTCATTCTCTAGCTCTCCGTCTAGCAGTGCAGTCCAGTTAATGTCTCTATCATATATATAGTATCATAGTTTCTACCATGCAGAACGATTCATTATGCACACTGTCGGACCAGATACAGGCTGCGGTTGGAAAGTCACAAAACGAAATACTCGGGCATTTGGATACATTAATTTCACAAAAGTTGAGCTCGTTTGAGAGAAAAATGTGTGAAAATTCTGAGGCATCTTTAAACAAGATACAAGAAACAATTCAGTGTACGGATACCTACAAATTCAAAAAGAGAAGTTGCGAGGAACAGTACAAGTTCAATACCAAAGTGCGCGGGAAATTATTGGACGCCGCGCAGGCCGTCAGTACGGACATGGACACCGCCAGGCTTAAGATACAGGAGGGTATGTCGCTTATAGACTATCGCAACAAGCTAATTAAGTTGGCGGACAGTTCTGAAGCAGGCTGGAAAACCGTCGATGAGTATGTAGCAAATCCTATAGCGTCGGACTCCGACGATGAAAGGAAAATCGACAGGGCCAGCTCCAAGGCAGTTAAAAAGGCAAAGGCGGAAAAGTTAAAGTCCAGCAGGGGAAGACAGCGTTTCAACCCTTATCAAAGAGAGACTTTTGTGTCCAGGAGCCAGACAAACGCCGCTACTACGACCGACAGAACAGGTCCTTTCCCACGGGGCGGGACCAAGCCCGGTACATGCTTTGGGTGTGGAAAGGCCGGACATTGGCGACAAGAGTGTCCGGAAATCAAAGGAGTCGCCTCGGCTGTATCCGGATATAAGATAAGTGGTTCTTTATTTGATATGCATGAAAAAGTATCGGCGAAGCAGGACGCAGGTAAGGTAGGGGCGACACAGGACGCTCCACGTGTCACATGTGATACTTCGCCAGTGGGGCGCTTGAAGGGTAAGAGCCAGTATTGGGCAGACCAAGGTACCATTGAAGTAGTACAATCTATCATCGAGAGAGGTTATAAAATTCCTTTTCACGAAATTCCACCAAGGGTGTCTTTGTCAAATAACAAAACCGCAAAAGATAACCCCGATTTTGTCGTGGGGGAGATAACTAAGCTTTTACGGTTAGGTTGTGTGTCGGAAGTTTCGTCAGAGCCCGCGGTCATAAATCCGCTCACTGTAGCTTTCAATCAATCAGGTAAGCCCCGCCTAGTTTTGGATTGCAGGCACATAAACCCTTTTTTGCATAAATTCAAGTTTAAATACGACGATGCAAGGGTAGCACGGGATGTTTTCCAGCCAGGAGATTTTTTGTTCACTTTTGATTTGAAGTCTGCTTACCACCATATCGAAATTTTTGAAGAGCACAGGCAATTTCTCGGTTTTGAGTTTGAAGTGGAAGGCAAAACACGCCAGTTTGTTTTCAATGTGTTACCGTTTGGTATCTCTACTGCTGGTTACGTGTTTACCAAGGTTCTAAGGGAGGTGGTCAAATCTATCCGTTTATTAGGTCACAAATTGGTCATGTATTTGGACGACGGTATTGGAGGTCACGAGACAGAGGGCGGGGCTAACGAGTCCAGTAGGTATGTCAGACAGGCATTGATCGATTACGGTTTTCTCATAGCCGAGGAGAAGTCCAATTGGGTAGCTTCCCAGCATGTCACGTGGTTAGGTTACACGTGGTCGATGGGAGAAGGCGTGGTCAGGGTCACGTCGGGTCGTGTCGAGCGGCTTTTGTATTGGCTGACCAATACGATGACACATGTCAAACAGAAAGACCTGCCTTTGCTCTCGGCCAGGTACATAGCGGGCATAGTAGGTCAGGTCATATCAATGCAAGGTGTTGTCGGTCACGTGGCTAGACTACGTACACGGGAGTTGTACAGGTGTGTATTGGCTAGAGCCAGTTGGAATGCGCGTGTTTTGCTCACGTCGGGAGCTCTAGACGAGATCCAATTTTGGTTGTCTAACGTAAAGGCACTGAACGATAAGGGTTCACAGTTAAAGCAACACCTAGTCTGTGACGCCATACTTTGTACTGATGCATCCGGTGAGGGATACGGGGGTTATGTTCAATATGTGGACACATCAGGCAGGTGTGAGCATGTTGGAGTGACGCAAGGTGTCAACGGGTGCACATACATACACGATACAAACAGTATCGAGACAGGTGCAAGCAAATGTTACCAAGGTGTAATCCCCCAGGGGGACCTTGTAACGGTACATGGTACAGATGTTTTTCAACACCCCCAGGGGGCTTGTGAGGTCCGACCCCGGATATATTTAGGCCATGATCATGATGGAACAAAATGGGGTCAAACGTTCGAGTTTCTTGGTCAATGCAACAGCACCCAGGGTGTTAGGGGGTCTCCGAGACCCGGGTTTTGCTACGGTAGCAGTATTAGTCCCACGGGAGGACTAGTAGGTGGCCCAGTGAGTGACGTGATTGGTCTGCAGGGCAGCGAGGTAAGCGTTTTGGATCGCTCTCTTCCTACAGTAAGGGATCTTTACC